ATCCGTCAACAAGTTCAGCCTTCTTTCATTCTTCGGCATCGCAATATGCCCTGCTCAAAGTATGTTCTTATTAAAAATTTGTTGGTCCTCTTTTCTTCCTTCAAAAGTCATCATTTCGCATGTTTGTTTCCAGGCAAAACCGCTTGAAGATGAAATGCCGACGCTAGCAAATGAAAGACGCGCTCCACAACAAGTACTTGAACTTGGAAAGAGAAGACCAAAGAAAAAACAAATAAATCTAATAGGTATTGAGGTTTCTCATTGCGGCTAATATATTCTCATAATTGTCGCTTCAGTTCCACAAACATCCTTGGAATTGTGGACCAAGATGGAGTCTAGAGGGTTGTTATCAGCTTATCTACAGCTGTCTAAATCAAAACTCACTATGCTCATTACGTCTACAGGTAAGCTCAGTCATCAATGTAATGAAATGATTCTCATAGCAGTATAAGCACTTCTCGATCATCTTTATCTTCAGCGGTTGCTGGTTTCCTGATGGCCCCTGTAAGTGTATCGGCACTGCCGCTTCTAGCATGCGCAACAGGTTAGTGTTTTTCATCATTCAGTTGTATACAGTTGTATGACATTGGCAAAGTCGCTTGTTTAATTTTTTTAACATCTGTAAATGTTATGACTTTATTGAATGTTTTAGACCATAACTTTTCTAATAATATATTCAGTAAAGGTTGGCGAATCGAAGTTTGTACACTTTCAAAAATAATTTTGAAACAAATTTTCTTCTTTGCTGCAATCATCATCTATCCGAATCGGATCTTGTGCAGACTCGCTAGAAATATCCATAGTCTTTCTTTTCTAGGCACTGCTTTATTATCTTCGGCTGCCAATGCTTGTAACCAACTACTAGAAGCGCCCTATGATGCTCAAATGAAGCGAACACAAAGCAGAGTACTTGTTGTGCATAGGTGATTTTTTTTCAAGTTCAACGCCTCCTTTAAATATCATGTCTATATTTTTGGGTTTTCTCCTCTTCATGCATTATCGTTTGCCGGTGTAGCCGCTACATCTGGTGTAGCAGCGTTGTGTATATTTGCAAATCCTCTCGCAGCCGCTCTGGGTGCTTTGAACTTGGTGATCTATGCTGGTATTTATACTCCATTGAAAAGGACCCATATTGCGTGCACGTGGGCTGGAGCTGTGGTAAGTCTTAAAAGTAGAATCTTTTCTTCAGATTTGAAAATAGCAGTTCCCCAAAACTGGGGTACTTTTGCTGTTTTATCGATTCATACCTATTCATTTAACTTTATGTTTATTGAGTTATCTTTTCTATGCTAACGTGGATTTGCATTTACCCTACATTCAATTTGTCATGTCTGATCCTCTTTTGTCCAGGTTGGTGCGATTCCGCCGCTCATGGGTTACGCGGCAGCTACAGGAACCTTAGATGCGCCATCATTGTGTCTTGCTGCAATATTGTACTCATGGCAGTTCCCTCACTTTAACGGTCTGTCCTGGAATCTTAGAGGAGACTACAGCAAAGTAAGTAGGTTGGGATGCTTTACATAGTGCTTGCATAGACCTTAGCAGCATCAGCGTGAACTTTGCAGTTTGAAGCCTCTGTATCGTTTCATACGGGGTACCTCGAAAATCCGCGTCAACTACTAGAAACTCTACCTCTTTTTCTTGAGTAATCTTTTTAAGTAACAATGGGAGATATAAGTTGTTGCTACCCTCAAAAATGGCTGTCATAGAATTTTTGCCTCTTTGAGATGTTGTATACTTGGTTATAAGTTTGATCAGTTTGAAACCAGATTTCGTAGAGGCGTAGTTTTACTGCAATCAGAATTAGGCATTACAGCATAAGGGTGTGAAATTAGAAGTAGAATTTTTTCCAATAACTCGTTTTTATTATAACGTTTTATTTGAGTAATTATGGTGGAAATATGGTCTCTCTCTTAGGATGGTCTATTTTCAAGGTGTACTTTATCGACTAAGCGTTTGCACTGAGTGCATTTTGACTTTGAGAATTTGATGAGCATCGACCATAAAAATTATCCTTCCTTTTTTTCACTTAGTAGATGTATTTAATATAATTAAGGCTGGATATCGCGTCATGTGCGTCACTAATGAACGGCTATGTCGAGTGACATCAATCCGGCATAGCTTAGCTCTGGTTGGATTATGTTCTGTGGTTGCACCGTTGACCAACTTGACGACCATTACTTTCGCTCTAGGTGAAAACTTTCTTCCAATGTTTTTCTATAAATTGTTTGAAAATCTTATTTTTGAAATGCTTAACCTTTTTAGATTCGCTACCAGTGAATGCTTACATGTGCTGGTTGGCCTACAAATTTTATAAAGCTCCAGATGCACAAAATTCGAGGCGATTATTCTTCTACAGGTGCACTCTTGCCACA